CTTGGGCCCGGTCTTATTCAACATCTTCATCAATGACTTGGATGATGGACTCAAGGGCATCCTGATCAAATTTGCAGATGACACCAAACTGGGAGGGGTGGCTAACACCCCAGAGGACAGGATCACACTTCAAAACGACCTTGACAGATTAGAGAACTGGGCAAAAGCAAACAAGATGAATTTTAACAGGGAGAAATGTAAAGTATTGCACTTGGGCAAAAAAAATGAGAGGCACAAATACAAGATGGGGGACACCTGGCTAGAGAGCAGTACATGTGAAAAGGATCTAGGAGTCTTGGTTGACCACAAACTTGACATGAGCCAACAGTGTGACGCGGCAGCTAAAAAAGCCAATGCAATTCTGGGCTGCATCAATAGGAGCATAGCATCTAGATCAAGGGAAGTAATAGTGCCACTGTATTCTGCTCTGGTCAGACTTCACCTGGAGTACTGTGTCCAGTTCTGGGCACCACAATTCAAGAAGGACACTGACAAACTGGAACGTGTCCAGAGGAGGGCAACCAAAATGGTCAAAGGCCTGGAAACGATGTCTTATGAGGAACGGCTAAGGGAGCTGGGCATGTTTAGCCTGGAGAAGAGGAGGTTAAGGGGTGATATGATAGCCATGTTCAAATATATAAAAGGATGTCACATAGAGGAGGGAGAAAGGTTGTTTTCTGCTGCTCCAGACAAGCGTACACGGAGCAATGGATTCAAACTACAAGAAAGAAGATTCCACCTAAACATTAGGAAGAACTTCCTGACAGTAAGAGCTGTTCGACAGTGGAATTTGCTGCCAAGGAGTGTGGTGGAGACTCCTTCTTTGGAGGTCTTTAAGCAGAGGCTTGACAACCATATGTCAGGAGTGCTCTGATGGTGTTTCCTGCTTGGCAGGGGGTTGGACTCGATGGCCCTTGTGGTCTCTTCCAACTCTATGATTCTATGATTCTATGATTCTATGATTCCTGCCCACCTAGCAGTTCGAAAGCACGCTTAAGTGCAAGTAGATAAATAGGTACCGCTTTATAGTGGGAAGGTAAATGGCGTTTCTGTGTGCTGTGCTGGTGCTGGCTTGCCAGAGCAGCTTCATCACACTGGCCACGTGACCCGGAAGTGTCTCCGGACAGCGCTGGCTCCCGGCCTATAGAGTGAGATGAGCGCACAACCCTAGAGTCTGTCTAGACTGGCCCGTACGGGCAGGGGTACCTTTACCTTTAAACATCAGATCAGTTTCTTAAATAACAATAACTGACCATTAATCATTTGAATCGCTGGTACTTTTGCACTCGGCAAATTGCCCTCCTTGGAAAGAAACCTGATAAGCCGAAAGTATCTAAATGGCAGAGCTCAAATAATCATTTATGGGATAGAGAGCGTGGTTTTATTTCTTACGCAGATATCAAGGTACATGGTTGCTCAGCCCAGCAGTGTATGCAAACGTCTGGCTCATCTAAGAACCTTTATTCTCAATAATGATGGGACTCACAGGTGGAGAAGACTTTTATTTTTGCATGTCTTTATTACTTGTAAAGGGGATATTTGTATTAGTTAATACCCCTTTGGAGCTGCACTGTATCTTTGTGCTTTGTACTGTGATTCCTGCATCGCAAGGGGTTGGCCTAGATGACTATTTGGGTATCTTCCAACTGTGATTCTATGATTTTGTCCTTCTAGACTGTGATGCCTTATTCTTTTACACTTCTGAGTCTTGATTTTTTCCCTTTCTTGTTAACGTCTGCACTTTTTAAAAAAACAACAACACAATAAAATGTTTCTTTTTTTAAAAAAAAATAACAATAATTGACGTAACCTAGTAAAAAATAAATCTTGAAAACAATATAAACAAAGAGGGCAGGGATTAAAGAAGAAGTATGTAGTAGTCTTTAAGGATCATATTGGGTAAGTATAACACCAAAAAGTATGTCTTTTATTTTGCAAATTCAGGAAGAAGGGAGAAGGCACACAAAGAAACAAAAATAATATATTGATGAACTTCAGCTTTAACCAGATCCATTTAAACACCAATGGTGGAAACCGGCCATGTACTTGGATATTGTGGATTTGGGGGAGGGGGGGTCAGTCTGGATGATTCTCCAAGTCCCATCCAATTCTTGGGATTCTGTATCTGTGGATGTCAAATGTATGAGAGCAAGCTTGCCCAACCTGTCCTTTTGTCTAGCTCATGGTTTTGGCTGATTCGCTTAAGCACCATAGTTAGCATAACCAAAGAATTTGCTCCATGCCGTAGAACAAATGGGCGGACCTTTCCTCTACCCCCTCACTATCTGCTAGGTAGGAGAACAGTAGATGGAGGGGGAGTTGGGGAGCACTAAGCAGAAAGCAGGCTGGAAGCTGGGGACACAAAGACATGCTTGATCTGTGCTGGATCCAAAGCTGTGACTAATGGAGAAGCAAACAGTACTGATTCTTCTCAGATTTAAGCTTGAAATTTTGGCTAACCTATATTAAGAACTTTCATTCTCTTGCTAATTGTGCTGTTTGAAATGTTCATTTTATATCTGACTTCCTTTAGTCATGTTTTCTTTTGAATTGTTTAAAATAATAATCATTCGGGGTTAACGTTGCTGCATTAAAGGTGCCTTCTGTCGTTGACCTCCTTGATAATGTTTTATTTTGAAATCTTTAAGATAATAGTTGAGTTCCCTGTAAATTACGTTGCTTTGAATGTACGTATACTTTATATTTTGCTTTCTTCAGTATACTTTCTTCAGTCTACTTTATATTTGACTTGATTTTGGATTGTTTTATTTGAGCTTCTAATGTAGGTCGTAAACCTCTTTGAGAGGTTTTTGCTTTCTTTCTTGAAAATATAAAGTGGTGTAGAAATTAAAAGAAGAAGGAGGAGGAGGAGGAGGAGGAGGAGGAGAAGATCTGTTTGGGTGTTAATGCTGGGAGCTCCTCTATCTTATCCTCAGGTTGTACAGTGGTACCTCGGGTTAAGTACTTAATTCATTCCCGAGGTCCGTTGAGGTCCGTTCTTAACCTGAAACTGTTTTTAACCTAAAGCACCACTTTAGCTAATGGGGCCTCCTGCTGCTGCCACACCGCCAACGCGCGATTTCTGTTCTCATCCTGAAGCAAAGTTCTTAATCCAAGGTAGTATTTCTGGGTTAGCAGAGTCTGTAACCTGAAGCGTATGTAACCTGAAGCGTATGCAACTCGAGGTACCACTGTATATATGTGTAAATAAAAACATACATCTGAAAGACACCATAATCTCTGCTGACCTTCATTCCAAGGAAGCGGAACTCGGGGTAAGCTTCTGGAGTCTCTCGCTGCTCAGAGATTGTGGTGGCATGTAACCGTATTGACACAACTCATAAACCAAACCAAAGTGAACTTACCTGTTCTACATTGACCTCTTCACACTTTTAATTTATATGTTAGCTTTTCCAACAGTGCAGTATCTCAGACCTTCCTGCACCAGTAGTTCAAATCAGCTCCAGACTTAACTCTCCCAAAACCTTGCAATCCTGAGTTGCGCAGCAGTCAATAAATGTCCAACTAGCTCCCTACTATAAACAATAGCATCGTCTTCCATTTAAAAAAGGATTGAGGAGGGCTAGTTGTAGTGCTATGGTAAAAGATGACACTTAACCAAAGATCCGATTTCTTGGAAGGCTGTATCCCAGAAGGCTTTAATTTGCACTTTCTGGAACAGTATACTAACTGAAACAGAGCCATCCTTTGAAATTCGCACTTTCCTGAATTTTGAAATGCGTTTCTCTCGCCAAGGAAGGCGCACCAAAAAGAAGAAGAAGAAGAAGAAGAAGAAGAAGAAGAAGCCTGCACTGGGATCAAGTGTCCCTAAAAATATACCCCTTCGTGAAAATGGAGATGTCAAAATTACTACTTTGGTGGAAATTAGAATCATAGGATCGAGGGGTTGGAAAAGGTCCCAAAGGTTGTCTAGTCCAAACCCCGAATGGCTGTGCAAAAATTGGTACATTAGGCAAACTGCCTTACAAAGGTGTGTGTATTAGGAGAAATGTGTATCAAAATGCTACCAAATTTCCATGAAGTTTTCTTTAAATTGCAAACTGATTATGTGGTGTCGTGACAATATGCCTTGGACAGGTGAGAGGCTCCACCCACCTCTCATATTTGACCCACAAGGTTGATCCTCATCTGCTATTTGAAGATGACTTAAGAACAACCATACATTTTTTCTACTTCTCTGCCATACCAGGATATATTATGGAACACACCCACCCACCAAATTTGCATTAATTTGCACTTCTGGAGCCAAAGCCATAAATGTCCAGTATTCAAAGTGGGCATGGAAATTGGGACCTCAATTAATACATTACATTGGCAATGTGGGGACTGCCAATTCCTCCTTGCTTCCATGCAACTGGGGGTTCCATGGTGCAACATTATTGTTTGCAAGCTCTAGTGGGACAGTGCAGCTCATTGGGGCCATAGCTCGGTGGGAGAGCACCAGAACTAAATGCAGGTTCCTTGGTTAGCATCTCCAATTAAAAGGATCTGGTGGTAGGTCAGGTCCTTGGGCCTGACACCCTGGAGAGATGCTGCCCATCAGGCCTGGACAACAGTGGTCTAGACAGGCAAAGGGTGTGGACTGGCACAAAGCAGGTTTCTGCGTTGCTGCCTTTTGGAGAAGGGGCATTGCTCAGAGAGTGTGCATCTGCTTTCTATGTAGAATGTCTGGGGTTTGATCCTCCCTGTCTCCAGTTAGAGATGGGCTCATCCAAAGCCCCAGAGAGCTACTGAATGGCTGTGTAGACAAGGCTGAACTAGATGGACCAACAGTCCAGCTTAGTGTATGCTAACTTTTCTGTGTTCCTATGCATAAAAGTCAGGCATGGGACTGGATTAACATGCATGGCCCCAATCCTTCCTCCACACCCTCTGAGAACCTGTGAACATGAACACGGCCAATAGCTCTCATTGGAAATCAGCATTTAGCACCAGGTAGAACACTGAGTTTCTTCTTCTTCTTCTTCCTTTGCTCGCAGATGTGAACGAATGTGAAACCGGGAACGCAGGCTGCGAATCCCAGTGCTGTAACACAATTGGGAGTTTCTACTGCAAGTGTCCTGAAGGATCCAAGCTTAAAGATGATGGAAAGGCCTGTGAAGGTAATGACAGCGCATTCAACCAATCATTGTATCATTGGAGGCAGTTTGGGCTTCCCTAGATGCCAGTCCCTGCCTGCCTTCTTATTTGCAAACAGTCCAAAAGTTGTGCTGCCTGTCAGCTTTCTCCTCTTAAGAATTAGGTTGTACCATTGTATACTCTACATCCAGAGCAGCAGATCTTCTATGAGACAACCCTTACGAAATGCTGCATTTTGATGCATTTTTCACCCAAATCAGCTTTGATTCAAATTGAGAAAAGAATGACCGAGCTGTGTTTTAAGCCAGTGATGTGTGCTGAGAACTAGTGTAGTCCTTCTTGAGCTCAGCAGGGAGGAGACAATGGGAACAAAACCAGAATGAGTTGGCTCTGCCTGTCATTGGCTCTGACTTTGTCAGTCACTGGCTTTGGCTCTACATACTGCTAGCCTCCCTGCCTTCCACCCCACCAGTTCCAATGGGCACTAGGTGTTGCTGGAGGGTTTTATCCCGGTGTGCCCTGTTCAAAGCTCAGTTTCATCTGGGAAGCAATTGAGCCTGGGCCTTCAAAAAGGTTTCCCCCCCACCTCTGCTCTAACAATGTTTTGGAAAAGTGTGTTTATGTGTGTTTAATTGCTAAGCCGGATTTAAGTGGATTAGTCTGCGCTGTCTGTTTGAGAGAGGGGTGTTGGTTTCACTTTCCAAAGGCAGAGAGTTTGACTTGAAGGAAGTGAGTTTTATGGTTTTGAGTGCCCACGACCAACTTTTCATGGCAAATGTGGCGCATGGCTTGGGTTGCAATATTTTACCAAAGAGAAGCAGGCAGATACAAGGCTCCTGGTCTTTATAGTGTGTGATCTGTGGCTTTTAAAACAACATTAGTTGCTTTTTTAATTGCTGTTGGCCTTGTTTGTTACTATGCTAGTTTATGTGAATAGATGCAGTCTTCTAAACTATCATCTTATACAAAAACAGAACACATCTCACCATAGTGGGGCAGATGGCAACCAGGTGTGCTGTGGATCTGCTCAAATCCCATCTGCACTGTATGTCTAAATCAGCATGATACCATTTTAAACAGTTGTGGTTAAGGGTACTGAGAGCTGTTAGCCGACCCCCTCCCAGAGCTTCAATTCCCATCACTCATAACAAACTACATTTTCCAGGATTCCTTGGAGGACGCGGGTAGTGCTGTGGGTTAAACCACAGAGCCTAGGACTTGCCAATCAGAAGGTCGGTGGTTCGAATCCCCGCGACAGGGTGAGCTCCCATTGCTTGGTCCCTCCCCCTGCCCACCTAGCAGTTCAAAAGCACATCAAAGTGCAAGTAGATAAATAGGTACCACTCTGGCGGGAAGGTAAACGGCTTTTCTGTGCTCTGCCAGCAGCGGCTTAGTCATGCTGGCCACATGACCCAGAAGCTGTACGCCGGCTCCCTCAGCCAATAAAGTGAGATGAGTACCGCAACCCCAGAGTCATCCGTGACTGGGCCTTCACCTTTATGGCTGTTTAAAGTGGTATGAAACTGCTTTTAATGCATGGTGAAGATGGGGCCTCAGTCTGCCGTCCTGGTGCTGAACTGTTGGTAGACAGTTTCAAGGCCCCTCCCACTCTCCCTTTCTATGGTTATTTAAGTTTATACCTGAGTTGGACCAGGCAGCATTCAAATTGAGCAGAATTGAGGAGCCTCAAGCTTGGCGGCAGCAGCGAATGTGATCCCTCCAGTCCTCTCTATCTGACCTGCTGGCCATTCCCCAGGTGTCACGAGTGAGCCAGCAGTAAATCACAGGGAGTAGGTGAAGTTAACTCTTTATTAGAACAAACAGGGTCTGCACAGGAGTGCCAGGTCTAATGAGCACAGCAACTCATCTTCAGTAGGTCTCATCTCTCCACAGCTGCCTAAGTCTCCTCCTCTCTATCGGGATGCAGGGGGCGCTGTGGTCTAAACCACTGGCCTCTTTGGCTTGCCAATCAGAAGGTCAGCTGTTTGAATCCCCGTCATGGGGTAAGCTCCCGTTGCTCAGTCCCAGCTCTTGCCAACCTAACAGTTTGAAAGCACACCAGTGCAAGTAGATAAATAGGTATCACTGTGGCGGAAAGGTGAACAGCGTTTCTGTGGGCTCTGGTTTCCACCACGGTGTTCCATTGTGCCAGAAGCTGTTTAGTCATGCTGGCCACATGACCTGGAAGGCTGTCTGTGGACACACGCTGGCTTCCTTGGCCTGAAAGTGAGATGAGCACCGCAACCTTTGACTGGACTTATTCATCCAGGGGTCCTTTACCTCTTTTACCTTTACCCTCTCTTTCATTTCCCCAAGTAATCTGAGATCACACCTGCATATTTACCTTTGCTCCTCACACTTCGTGCCTCTCTGGGTTCTGGGAGACCCGGGGGGAGAGGAGCTTGTTGCAGCAGGAGGGGGGAGACACTGTGACTCTTCACCAGCCTGACTCCTCTCTTCCTCTTGGCCTCCATCCTCCCACTCATCCGCTTCAGCGTCTGCCTTTGATTATGCACTGCTGTCTGCCACAGGCTCTCCCAGCTCACTAAGCCCTGTTGCCTCCTCAGCTTCCAACACCACTTCTTCCCAGTCTGCTCCCTCTGACCACTTGTCATCATCCCACCACCAGTCCCCAGGCTCTGAGTCTTCTTCTTCTGAGCTTCCCCAGCTGGTTCCTCCCACCTTCCTCTACATCCAAACAGTCCATGACATTAAGTCGTACCTGATACTGATCTTGCTAGAGTGTTTTTTTGCCTGGCTGGAATGTGTTCTTGAATTCTGATAATGCCTCTTTGCTTGCCTGGAAGGAGGACAGAGAAGGTGTGTGTGTGTGTGTGTGTGTGTGTGTGTGTGTAGAAACTAGCCATGAATTAACACTTGTCACTCCAGTCACTTTTGCCTCTGGCCATGCCCACCACTGCCACATGACCCCTGGAAGGAAATGTGACTCCTGAGCTGGAAAAAGATTCCCTATCCCTGAAATAGGATTCCTTCACAGAGAAAACTGTCATCTGCAAAAAAGAAATAGAAAAAAGGGGGGGCACATTCAGTTCATATTCATAAAAACACACCCACACACCCACACACCCCAGATGTGAAATTGTTTCAAGATGTTTTATGGAAAGCGATTGATAAAAATGGAATGAAATAAATAAATACATAAATAAATAAATGAATGGTTCCATACAAGGAGTGTGAGTGCAAATAAACAGAAAGGTATATTAACAGGACACATAAAACATTTAAGTACATTTTTCATATATATATTTATAGTCTTTATTGAAAAAGTAAAAAGTACAAAATTACAAGAGTAAGGTAAGACACACAAAAAAAGAAACAAGAAATAGTACCCATGTAGAAAACAAAGCAGAGCAATAACAACAACAGCAAAATTATATTGTGTACATTATAAAAAAAAGTGTGTGTGGGGGGGAGAGAATGCTATTGTATTTAACCAGACCTTAATCTAATATGGTATTTATGAAAATGAATTACAAATATCGTTAAATTTATCAAAGGCAAGTCTATGTTTCTTCACAACTTGTTCATGTGTAGCGAGTTTGTACATACAGTAGACCCTCTAGGTATGTACTGCTCTGGATACGTAACTTTTGGGTTACGAACACGAGAAACCCGGAAGTGTATATTTCTGGGTTTCGCTGCATGTGCAGAAGCGGCACCTCTGACTATGGACTTTTCGCGTTGCAGACAGACCCCCGGAACAAATTTAATTTGTATCCGGAGGGTCCACTGTATCTTCAATGCAATCATTAAAGAGAACAACATTTTTTTTTTAAAAAAAAAGCACCCATGCAGGATTTAGCAATTCTGCAAACGTCACTTACAAAATAGAAACATTTGCAACTGACTCAGTTACATAAGGATTGTGTGTTCCTCAACCAGGAAGGCTGTATATACCATTTCTAAAGACTTTCTCTGTTCACTTTTGCCCCTGGTTCCACCAATTTCTGGCATGTGGCCCCCAGGAGGAAATATGGCCCTTGCACTGGAAAGATTCCCTATTCCTAAAATAGCAGCTCCCTTCAAATATAGGACTGTCTTGTGTAAAATAGGTCACCTGCTCTTATTACCATTCAATTCATATTTCTTACTAGCCCACAGACCTTCAAATTAAAACACACACACACACACACACACACTCCCAGATATTTGATTTCATGCAAGGAGTGGGACCTCAAATACACAAAAAGGTATATTAGCAGGAAAAGTAAAACCTTTAAATAGATTATTTGTTATTTTTAAAAAGACATTAAAAAAAAACCCCAGTGCCCATTAACAAATCTGTAAAGTTGCTCACGACTCTTAATAGCTTGAAACAGAAACTTTTTTCAGGTGATTCAGTTACATAAAGAATGTGTGATCCATAACACATACCATTTCTAAAGGCTTTCTTGGAAAGGGAAAAATCAAAGCAGAACTAAGTTTGGAAAGTACAGGCTGAAACAACATGGAGAAAGTGGAGCCACAAGGTCAATAGGTTCAAGAATTGGCAGTGGGCCCTGACTAGGCATGGGGCTTGGAGGCTATCCAACAATGGCCCCTGATATTGGCCCTGGCAGCAGGACGCGCATTGCCCAATTGCTGGCTGGCGAAAGTCTCTCCACATGGATGGGGAATTTGTAGATCTCTAGATGTTGCTAGACTCCAAGTCCTTTGGGACTCTCCCTAGGTGACTCCCACTCTCCCCTTGTTGCTTTTGCTTGGCTGGAGTGGGTCCTTGAAGTCTGAGAGTGCTTGGATGGAGGATAAAGAGGAATAATTGGGTTTCATTCCCTGCCAGTCCTACTCAGGGTAGACCCATCAAAATGAATGGCCAGCACTCACTTAGGCTCATTAATTTCAGGGGGTCTGCTCTGCGTAAAATGTAATTGGCTATGACTCTGTGACTGTGTGTAGAAGCAACCCCACTGGACAAAATCAAAATTAGCACTTGTTGGTCCTCCCATTTTTTGCTTCTGACCCTGCCCACCACTGATGCATGGCCCCTGAAGGTTGTGTAGAA